TTAACAGAACAATTCTCGAAAGGACTCGGTGTATGATGTCAAATGCAGGTTTATGGCATAGACGTGATTTATGGGCAGAAGCTGCAGCAACAGCTTGTTATTTAATCAACCGTTCTCCACATAAGTCGTTGGATTATAAAATTCCAGAAGAAATTTGGACAGGTAAACCAGTTGATTATTCCAAATTAAGAATATTTGGTTGCCCATCATATTATCACGTAAATGAGGGTAAGCTCTCTCCAAGAGCTAAAAGGTGTTTATTTCTGGGATATTCTATGGAGTCAAAAGGCTATCGTTTTTGGTGTATTGAATCTCACAAGGTTATTCAAAGTAGAGATGTTACATTTAATGAAGATGCCTTATTTTCTGTCAAAGATGGTACTTCTTCGTCCCATGATGCAGAAAATCTTGAGACTCCAAGAGACAAGGTGGAGTTCGAACAACAAGATTCACCTACCCATCTATCTTCTCTAGAGTTAAATCCTAGTGAAGTTCAAAATGAGGAAATGCCACCTCAAGTGCCACAAGATTATATCTTGGCTCGAGATCGGCCAAGGAGAGTTATACAAAAACCTGCTCGATATAGAGATGATGAGCTTGTTGCGTATGCTCTCGCCGTTGCACAAGAAATTTCAGAAGAAATTGAGCCTGCTTCTTTCAAAGAAGCTATATCTTGTGTAGATTCATCTAAATGGCTTGCGACAATGAATGAAGAAAACGAAAGTTTGTTGAAGAATAATACATGGGAATTATGTATCCTTCCTACGGGGAAGAAAGCACTTTCAAATAAGTGGATATACAAAAAGAAAGAAGGAATTCCCGGTATTGAAGAGGCAAGATGGAGGGCGCGGTTGGTTGTTCGCGGCTGCAACCAACGTGAAGGTATTGATTTCAATGAAATCTTTTCTCCTGTTGTGCGTCACACTTCCATAAGAATTTTGCTCTCTTTTGTTGCTCTCTTTGATTTGGAGTTAGAGCAACTTGATGTGAAAACTGCTTTCCTTCATGGTGATCTCGAGGAGGAGATATACATGAAGCAACCAGAAGGCTTTGTGATTCCAGGAAAGGAGCATATGGTTTGTCGCTTGAGAAAATCATTATATGGTCTCAAGCAAGCTCCTAGACAATGGTATAAGCGTTTTGATACTTTTATGATTGGAAATGGTTATACACGAAGTCAATTTGATAATTGTGTATACTTCCAAAAATTTCCCGAGGGCTCCTACATTTATCTACTTCTTTATGTTGATGACATGCTTATTGCTTCTAAGAACAGAATGTTGGTCGAAAGGTTAAAGTCACAACTAAAAGGAGAATTTGAGATGAAGGACCTTGGAGCAGCAAAGAGGATTTTAGGTATGGAGATCCAAAGAGATCGACAAGCTGGTAAATTATTTTTGAACCAAAGAAAGTACATTGATAAGGTACTTGAAAGGTTCGGAATGATTGATTGTAAGCCCACTTCTACTCCTCTCGCTGCTCATTTCAAGTTATCTGCTGCTTATTGTCCAACAACAAATGAAGAAGTGGATTATATGTCTAGCGTTCCATATTCGAGTGCAGTTGGTAGTTTGATGTATGCTATGGTCTGCACAAGACCCGATCTTGCATATGCAGTAAGTGTTGTCAGCAGGTATATGCAAAATCCAGGAAAAGAACATTGGAATGCTGTGAAGTGGATACTTCGGTATTTGAAGGGAACCCGTGATATGGGTCTATTGTTTGAGAGGAGTGAAAATCCTTCCAACAATATTATAGGCTTCACAGATTCTGATTTTGCAGGTGACTTAGATAAACGGAAGTCCCTTTCCGGATATGTTTTCACTCTCTGCAATTCATGTGTTAGCTGGAAATCTTGTTTGCAACCCGTAACTGCTTTGTCAACTACAGAAGCAGAGTATGTTGCTATTTCTGAGGGGGTTAAAGAGGCTATTTGGTTACGTGGCCTAGTTATTGAGCTTGGAGTTGAACAAACTGTTTCAACCGTATTTTCGGATAGTCAAAGTGCCATTCACTTGACTAAAAATGACATGTATCATGCGAAGACAAAACATATAGAAGTCAAGTACCACTTTGTCCGAGATGTTATGGTTGCAGGTGATATTAGTGTGAAGAAAGTTCATACTGACAACAATCCTGCAGATATGCTCACTAAAGTTCTTCCTTCAACTAAGTTTGATCGTTGTTTGAACTTAGTTGGAATTCGAAGAGCTTGATTACCTCTCAGAGGTTTCTGGACAAGTCTTTCTAAATTTGATTCAAGGTGGAGATTGTTGGTATTGATGCCTCAAATTAATTCAAGACTTGGAGTTATGGAAGACACTTGAGGTTACTTGGGGTTATGAAAGTTAATGACCACATGGAGTTAATTGTGTGGAGTTTCCATTTGGTTAATGGGAGTGCCGTTCACTTTTTCTTTGGCATCTCATAAGCCATTTTGCATGGCTATAAATAGAGAGTCTATTATTGTTGAATAGACACACCAATTCCATCCAACTCCTTTCTTCTCCTAAAGTGTAGAATATCTTCTTGAGTACTTTTCTTTTATGTTGGGAGTTTTCTACTTACTCCACAACTTTGTACGTTGAAGATTATTCCTTGATCATAGTGGATTTACTGGCTTGTCCAGCCCGTGGTTTTTCTCCCTCTTCTTTGGAGGGTTTTCCACGTAAAATTGGTGTCTTGTCTTTGTTCATTCTCTTCTCTGTTTTCTTGTTCGATTTCATATTGGGTTTGCTTCCGCTAGTGCTCATTTATATCCAGGTTCAAAAGTCTTTAAAAGACAACAAGTGGTATCAGAGCCCTTGACAACCAATTGAAATCCTCGACAAGATGACTGCAAAGTTTGACATTGAGAAGTTTGATGGCAAGATATCATTCTCGATATGGAGAATTCAAATGAAGGCAATTTTGACACAAAATGGTGTTCAAAAGGCTTTACTTGGTCTCGAAGCCAAACCAGAGACCTTGACTGATGTCCAATGGGAAGAGCTCGATGAAGAAGAGAGGAGGTGAAGGGATCTTTGGCCGGAAAACCGCCGATCAGAATGTAAGAGAGGCTAGAAGTATTTTACCTTATTTTCTGGGTTTTCTTTATTTTTATTTTTTTATTTACTGTGAAAATGACGTGGAAATAGTAAAATATTTTATTATTTTTTAATTGCCACATCAGTCATTTAACGGTCAATTTTTAAAGTTGACTGCCACATCAGCGAAAGTTAACGGACTTGGACGGAGAGTGACCGAATTCGAACTATTGAACTAATTTTAGTGACCACGAATGAATTTAAATATTTTTAGTGACCAAACGTGAACCTCTTTTGTAAACCCAGTGACCAAACTTGCAATTAACCCAAAATTTATTTTTAGTACAAAAAAGTCATTAGAAAATTACATTTTGGTACCTAAAATTTTTTATTGTGACATTTTAGTATTTAAACTTTTCACAATTTACATATTGGTCCAAGACTTGGATGTCATTTGGATACATAGATCACCAATCCATATGATTAGGATTTAGGGATGTTCAATCGATGTGGTTACCGTGGTAACCGGTAGTATGTGGTTAATTTGGTGTGGTTAACTTGGATAATTGGTTAAAATTTTAGCTTGTTTGGTTTAAGTGGTTTGGTCTGATGTCAGGCACTCATAACCAATCAAACCAAATTAACTGGTTAAGTTATTATCTATATATCTAATATATATAATATACACATTCTTAATGCTTGACATAACCACTTAAGAGCTAAACATTCCTTCCTTTAGTCTCATCAACAATAAAGCGCAATATTGGTCATATACTGTATATTTTGTATTTGTAGAGTGTAGACCATGATATATGAACGCCCAATTTAGATAAAACTCATACAATATATTAGATGAAAACATGAAAGGAAGGTCTTTTTCAATTTTCAACCTATGATAATTGCTAAGAGACTAATTCAATTCACACAATCACAACAATAAAAAATCCATATACTATTGACATGTATTTTTGTTAGGCGAATACTTCTATTGACTATAATATAATTGTATTAGTTGTATGTATTTCTGTAAATTATGAATTGGATTACTATAACTATGTGTTCATTGTAATGTTTTATTCATCATATAAATTGTGAGTTGATGCATTAACCAAAAAATTTCACACTTAATAATAATGTGATGTTATATGGGTTAATCTGGTTAATCAATTAACCAAACCGATTAAACTTTAGTTTGGTTAATTTGGTGGTTGTACTAGTTTGGAACGGTTTGGTTATGAAATTGTATTCCATGGTTAATAGAATTTTTGCTTGTTTGGTTTGATAATTATCATGGGAACCATTTGAACACCTTACATATGATCCTTATCCATGATTCCAGAAATTCATTTAATCCATCATCCATTGATCTACTAATCCAATCCACAAATCTATGGATCTAATCCATTTTCAACCTCTAGTTGGACGTGTATTGCACACTTTACCGGTCAATCATTTTTCTCAATTAATTAGTAATTAATTTCTAAAATTAAAATATCCACTAATTATTTTTTGAATTACATTTAACGCTTGTATATTTTAATTTAATTTATGATTATCACTGTTCGTAACTAACAATGACAAGAAAAGTCAACTAGAAAAAACGGGTAAATTGCAAGGTTGGTCACTGAGATTACTAAAATCGTTCATGTTTGGTAGCTAAAAATATTTAATTTCAATCATAGTCACTAAAATTAGTTAACTAGTTCAAGTTTGGTCACTCTCTATCACCTTCCGTTAATCTCCGTTAACAACGTCAATTTTTAACTGACATGGCTAACAAAATCACCTAATCATCTTATTTTAACCTAAAATTTATTTACCCAGCCCGCCACATCACTAAAACCTGCCCCATCAGCTAAAACAAACCTATGACCCGACCCACCACACTTCCACCCCCACTTTCGACCCGCCTCACTTCCGCGAGATCTTCATTGCCGCAAGCTGCGATTTCCCCTGCCTCTTCCTCTTCCCGCACAGGCTCACCTCCTTCAAGTGCAATCTCCGATGGCTCAGCATTTTCGGCTCTCCGTCTTCACCCTCCTCGGCCTCGCCGTCCCGGACATCACTGATTACCAGACGGAAACCAAGTCCCTGTTTATGTATATATACACACGAAAATGGAGATTCAATACAAGGGGATAGTAATCAAACGCAAATTTGCCTTCATCATTAAATTCAATACAAGAGGGAAAGTAAATTCCAGATCTACCGCTCCCCGCTTCTGGCGAGATATGTCGTTGCCACTCGTCTTCCCGCCGTAGTTCTCCCTCAACCCGAACGATGACGAATCAGCCTCCAACTCATCATCATCATCATCGTAGATTCTAGCCCACCCTGCTATCGCCAGACCTCCATCATCGTGGTCAGACCCTCCCTTATGCAATGCTATGCTTTCGACGCCCGTTGACGACCTACTGTCTGTCAACCAAGTAGAAAAGAACAGGTTGCAGATGCAGGAAGATGAAGTCCTGAAGTGCTCTGGATTCAATCGAAGGAGAAGAATGAGAAACGTTTCGTGTCTGAGAGTTTCGTTTATGTTGCTGCATTTTATTTAAACGCTGTCGTTCCGCTTTCGGTTAATAGCCGTTGTTAAACAGTGATTTGAGTTTGTAATTGCCAATGGCACTTTGCCATGTGGCTAACACTGGAGTGTTTCTGTTTAACAGAACACTGGACTATATATATCAAATGCAGAGGCAACCCTTCACTTTGAGGGTTTGCCAATTCTCCAAACCTAGAAATTGTTATGGTATCAGAGCGGTCAAGCAACTAGAGAAACCATGAACACGCCGCCGCCGGGTTCTCAGGGTGATCCAAACTCTTCCTCTGGAGATGGGTCTCAAGGATCTCAAGCCACTCGAGGAACTCAAGCGGGAAATGGGACTGGTCCTCGCGCTTTCCAATTTGGATCGTTTGATGAGCAGCAGCAACAACAGATCTTTGCTGGAGCTGGAGTCAGAAACGATGTCATAACCTTCGGTAATCCTTTCTACCTGAACCCTAATGAAGCACTGAATCAGTCCATAGGTTCAGAGGTGTTTGATGGTAGTAACTATACCATGTGGAGTCGTTCTGTGATTATGGGTTTGAAGATGAAACACAAATTGGGTTTCATAGATGGTTCGATTCCCATGCCAGCTAGAACAGATGCAAATTATTTGCTGTGGGATGGTTGTAACACAGCTGTGTTGTCATGGATCTTGAATTCTCTGAACAAAGATCTGAGAAGATCTGTAATGAGTCATGTGAATGCGAGAGTCTTGTGGGAAGAACTGAAGAGGAGATATGCCAAACCAAATGCTATCAGGATCATAAACCTGGAGGATGACATACAAAGATGCAAGCAGGGTACTCAGACCATAAATCAGTACTACACAGAAATCAAAGGATTGTGGGAAGAGTACTCGCAGTTTAGCCATATTGTGCCTTGTAACTGTGCTCCAGGAAACCCAAATCCTTGTGATGCAGTGGTAGCCTATACAGAAAGGCAGGAAGCGGATTATCTGATTCGGTTTCTGAGGGGTTTGAATCCAGACTTTGAGATAATCAAGACTCAACTGCTCTCACAGAAGCCTTTACCAACAGTCTCAGAAGCAGTTGATGATCTGTTGCAGTATGAACAGAAGTTGAAAGCTGAGAAGGGGAACACTGGCAAGAAGGCACAGACTGTGGCTCTAGCAGCAGGAACAGCTCCTCAGGAATCAGGGTATAGAGGTCAAGGAAGGAAGTATTGTGTTTACTGCAAGAGACCAGGACATGCTGTTGATGAGTGTTGGAGAGCTAAGAGAAAGAAGGAAGCTGATAGCAGTAGCAGTTCTGGAGGGTCTCAAAACCAACACTCCAAGGTTTGCAGGATCAGTCTCTCAAACAAGTTCAGGGGACTCACCTACTGAGGTAAGCTATAACAGTGATAATCCAGATGGAAGTCCTGTTAGTCAAGCAAGGACAGTGGCAGGTTTCACTCCTGAAGAGATGAATAGACTAAGGCTAATGATGCAAGCTGGTGCTAGCTACAGCCCTTCACCTCCTCAATCACCAACCATATCACCTCATGCATATTCTGTTTCACAATACTTACCTCCCTTCCCTAACCATTCAGGTAAATTTGTCCTCTCTTCTCACATAGAGCATAGCAACCTAGATCCCATTACCTTCTGGATCCTTGACACAGGAGCTTCAGACCATATTTCATGCTCTTTATCACTTTTCATTGAGCATAGAGAAGTCAACAGCATGTTTGTTTATCTACCTAATACCACAAAAGTTCTAGTGACACATATAGGAATTGTCAAACTACCATCAGGTCTTCTTCTACACAATGTCTTATTTGTTCCAAGCTTCTCCTTTAAACCTTGTGTCAGTTAGTAAGCTTACTCATGATCACCCTCTAGCCTTACATTTCCAATCTGATTTCTGTCAAATCCAGGACCTGCTAAGCATGAAGATGATTGGTTTAGCAAAAGAGAGTAGAGGCCTATACCAGCTCACCTTTTCCAAACCAGAGAAAGACCAGTCACCCTCATCACATCCTCAAGCAGCCAGTACCTTCAATTTCCATCCACAACAAGTAGACTTATGGCACTGGCGATTAGGACATCCTAGTAGAGGATAGGATTTCTTTGTTACAACAAACACACCATTCTGTAACCAGTCCTAAGCTCAAACATTGTGATGTCTGTCACTTTTCCAAACATAAGAAACTACCATTTCCTGTTAGCACCAGTATTGCACATGATTTGTTCCAATTAATACATGTTGATATTTGGGGGCCTTTGTCTGTTGTCTCTTATGATGGATATGCTTATTTTCTAACTGTTGTGGATGATTGCTCAAGAGCTGTATGGGTGTTTTTGATGAGACATAAGAGTGAGGCTAGATCACTGCTTCAAGGTTTCTGTGCCTTGACACAAAATCAGTTTGGCAAGAATGTGAAAGTGATCAGAAGTGACCAAGGGCAGGAGTTTAACATGTGTGAATTTTACATGGAAAATGGCATAGAACACCAGATGTCTTGTGTAGAAACCCCTGAACAGAATGCACGTGTAGAAAGGAAACACCAGCACATTCTCAATGTTGCTAGGTCTCTTAGATTTCAGTCAGGACTTCCTTTGATTTATTGGAGTGACTGCATCCTGCATGCCACTTACCTCATTAACAGGCTGCCCACTCCAGTCCTTGACAACAAATCTCCTTATGAGATTTTGTACAGTGCATCACCTACTCTTGGTCACCTTCGTGTGTTTGGTTGTTTGTGCTATGCTAGCACCTTAGTCAGTGGAAGAACTAAGTTTGCTCCTCGTGGAAGGCAGTGTGTGTTTCTTGGTTTGCCAGCAGGTATAAAAGGATATAAGTTGCTGGATTTGCAAACCAGAGAAGTATTTGTCTCTCGAAATGTTGTCTTTCATGAATCCATCATTCCTTTTAGGATTTCATCTGAGACTTCAGACTCTAGCTCTGCTGCAACAGACCTGCCTTCTCCTTCTAATCCTACTGTCACTCCTGCTCCACCTGTCTTAGTTCCCACTACCAACCCACCAGTTTCCCTTGATTCAGCCTGTGATTCAAGGGGGGACCAATCTAGTAGTTCTGATTCCACTCCTTTCTTTTCTGAGCCTTCTTCTCCTGGTATAGAACTTGCACCTGAGTTAGAACCACAAGCTGAATATGAGGAACCTGCTGGTAGACCTACAAGGCATCTTGTCCTTCCAGCCAAGTATCAAGATTGTGTTCTAGATCCCCAACTACAGTTTGGAGCCTTTGGAAGCACTGTTACTAGGCACCCTGTCATGTTCAACTTAGATCATCTCAATGCAGTTGACAAAGCATATGCATTGAGTGTCCTGACATGTGTAGAACCTAGAAACTATAAAGAGGCAATTCAAGTTCTGGAGTGGAGGAGAGCAATCAATGAAGAACTTGCAGCTCTGGATGCCAATCAAACATGGGAAATCGTGCCATTGCCACCAGATAAACATGTTGTAGGAAGCAAGTGGGTTTTTAAACTCAAACTAAAGCCTGATGGGTCTATAGAAAGGTACAAGGCCAGGCTGGTTGCTAAGGGCTTCACACAGGTGTATGGGATAGATTTTCTAGACACATATTCACCTGTGGCAAAGATAAATTCAGTGAAAGCCCTGTTAGCAATAGCAGCAGTGAAGAATTGGTCTCTTGAGCAATTGGATGTTTCCAATGCTTTCCTACATGGAGATCTAACCGAGGAAGTATACATGGAGATACCTCTGGGAGTTGAAATACCAGGATCCAGCAACACAAGGATGGCTTGCAGACTGAAGAAGTCATTGTATGACCTGAAACAGGCCTCAAGACAGTGGTTTTCAAAGTTAACAGGTTTTCTATTGAAGAATGGATTTTCACAGTCAAAATCTGACTACTCATTGTTCACCAAGTGGGTTAATGACAGAATTGTGATAGTCCTAGTCTATGTGGATGATATTATAGTAGGAGGAGATGCACAGAAGGACATTGATCAGATTAAAAGGTCTTTGTGTGGGGAGTTCAAAATGAAATTGCTTGGCCCACTGAAATATTTCCTTGGACTTGAAGTAACAAGAACTGCAGAAGGGTTAGCAGTATGTCAGAGGAAGTACTGCATGGAGTTGTTGAGTGATACTGGATTTTTGGAAGCTAAGGGTTGTTTGTCTCCTTCTGATCCTAAGGTGAAACTTGCAGCTGGACAAGGAAGTAGAATGGAGGATCCTGAAATGTATAGAAGGCTAGTAGGTAGATTACACTACATTACTATCACTAGGCCTGATCTAACATTCTCAGTGCAACAACTTTGTCAATTCCAGAAGGATCCACACAGTGAACACTTGCAGGCAGCTCACAGGGTACTCAGATACCTCAAGACATCACCAGGACAAGGGATTTATTTCAGTAGCCAAGCAGAGTTGAAACTAACAGGCTTCTGTGACTCTGACTGGGCAAGTTGCCCTGACACAAGAAGGTCAACCACAGGCTATTGCACTTTCATTGGAAAGTCTTTACTCACATGGAAATCTAAGAAACAAACCACAGTTTCTAGATCTTCGTCAGAAGCTGAATATAGAGCACTTGCTCTACTGGTTTGTGAGATTGAATGGCTAAGGAGATTATTGGCTGAGTTAAGTGTGAAAATACCATTACCTGTGACTATTTATTGTGACAACAGGTCTGCAATTCATATTGCTGAAAATCCGGTGTTCCATGAAAGGACAAAGCATATTGAGATAGATATGCATGTCACCAGAGAGAGAATCAATGATGGTTTGGTGCATCTGCAACATGTAAGTACAGCCAATCAATTGGCTGACATTTTCACTAAAAGTCTACACAGGGTTCGCGTCCAGGAGTTGCTTGGCAAGTTGGGTGTCTTGACTGAAGCCACAACTTGAAGGGGGGTGTCAACCAAGTAGAAAAGAACAGGTTGCAGATGCAGGAAGATGAAGTCCTGAAGTGCTCTGGATTCAATCGAAGGAGAAGAATGAG